CAGAAGGAACCTGCCATGTCTGTTCAGAAGACAGGGCTTCAAGTCCACCCAAGGCTCTGCTCCTTCCTACCCGGGGGCATTGGGCAAGTCACTCCAATTCACTAGGCCTGGGTTAGGTTTCTTCTGGGTAAAATGAGCAAGTTAGACTGTAAGACCGCCAAGCTCCCTAACATTCTACAAGTGACTCTCCCCCCCCCACCTCAGTTCCCTCTTTTGTAAAATGGAATCACTCATTCTTATATCACCTCCCTCACAGGGCAGTGGAAAGAGCCCTGAATTTAAAGGTCTGGGACCCAAACGTGAACCCCAGCTCTCCCACTTACTGCCAGTGTGACCACGGGCATGTTACTGAACCTCTCTGGGCCTCAGCTGCCTCATATGTAAAATGAAAGAGTTAGGTTGCGTTCAATTGTACTGAAAAAGACCTCATGGTTCTAGTGGACCAAAAGCTCGGTAAGAGTCGGCAGTGCCTCATTTCTGAGTCACCTCCAGGTGGGTGACAGACTTTAAGTCTGCGCCACCTGAGGATCCACTGGAGAAGCTGGACCATGGAGAGAAGGCTCAGGGAGACATGAGAGCTGTGGGTCCAGCATTTGCAGGGCCGTCATATGAATCTGGCAAAACACATGGGGAGGGCCGAACCTCACCCTGCCTGTCCTTTGTATGACCAACGAGCCAGGAATGGCTTTTACTCTTTTTATAAACAAGGTTTGTTGTATCAGCTCAAGGGCTGTCCCAAAACAGCCTCCATTTCCTCCTCTGTAAAATGGGAATAATGGGTGGAGCCAAGATGGCAGCATGAAAGCAGTGACTCGCCTGAGCTCTCCCCCACACCCCTCCAAATACCTATAAAAAATGGCTCTAAATAAATTCTGAAGCAGCAGAACAAACAAAAAGACAGAGTGGAACAAATTCCCAGACCAAGACAACCTGGATGGGTGATCAGAAAGGTGTATCGTGCCGGGCTGGTAGCAGAGCGCAGTGCGGCGTGGGCGCACAGGCCGCAAGAACCTGGAGCAGGCCTCAGAGGACTGAATCGCAGGCAGCTGTCGCGGCTTCCAGACCTCTCAGCCCACGAATGACACATCCAACTTAGAAAGTCAATGGGAAAAGTCTGTTTCTGTGGCTCTGAGAGAGGAGCGTGGGGTCTCAGGCATTGTTACATTTTGTCCCTGGAAGCCAATATGTGCACATAATTATATGCAGAATAAACACAAAGTAAATGCAAGGTAGTCACCCACCTGGTAGTGAGAAAGGGAGGGAAGGAGGACTGGAAGCAGGCTTGGAATCAAAGGTCTGGAAGGGAGGGAGGAGGGAGGGAGGAGGGAGGGAGGGATTCCATGAGGCCGAGGGGAGCAGGGAGTGCGGGCCATGACCAGCCTTCTGGCCCTCTCATACAGTCTAAGAGCACACCAGCTTTCTGGGCAACTTGATCACAATGCTCACTCCCACTGAGCTAGGAGCCACTAAAACTAAATGATCAACTAGATTATCTTTGAACTAGGACCTCCACTCTTGAGGGCATCACCTACTGTCATGGCAGCTTGTCATGAAGACCCCTCCTATTCCAGTTATGTGAGACTAAATGCCAACGTGACTCAGGCACTGCTGAATCCACAGGACGTGCCATCTCTGCTCAGACTCCTTCTGGGCGACCCCAAGCCCTGGAGTCCAAGAGGTAGAATCCTCAGGCGTGGAGTGCACAAGAGCCCCAGAAACCTCTTACAGGCCACAGCTCCTCCCATGCGCCAATGACCCCTGCTTGGGTTGGGTGACTCAACTACTTCCAAACTCAATTGGCTGTATTATTGTCTAGCCCATAGCTCTCCCCCACGTGCACAGGGTTACCTTGGGAAGTACTGTTAAATGCTTTGCTGAAATCCAGGTGAACTGTATCCATAGCATCCCCCTGACCCACCACCCATCGAAGTGACCCTGTCAAGAAAGGAATGAGGCAAGTCTGAATAACCTGTTCTTGATGAAGCCAGGCTGGCTCTTTGGGATCACTGCTTCCTTTTCTAAATGTTCATTAACCATCCTTTGACTAACATTCTAGAATCTTTCCAGCAATCAAGTTCAAGTTCTAAAGTTTGTAGTCTAACATTCCTCCCTGCTCAGACATTCAGTGTTCCACATTTGAAGGGCCCTCTCAGCTCTGACATTCTTGGTTCTAAGGCCCCTTCCACCTCTGACAGTCTCTGTTCTAAGCCTGCCTCCCAACTCTCACATTCCATGTTCTAAGGCCCCTCCAAGTTCTGACACTCTCTGTTTTGAATTCCCTTCCAATTCTGATGTTATATGTCATGTGGGTTCTATGGTTCCTCTGAGTTCTGACATTCCATTTTTTAAGTTCCTCCCAGCCCTGATATTCCATTATCAAGGTCCTTCCCAGGCCTGCCATTCTGTATTCGAAGGTCCCCTTTCTAGATGACATTCGGTGCTTCATGTCCCTCCCTCTTGTGCCTGTCGATGTTCTCCCAGGCCCCAACTTTGACCTGCTCTCTTCCAATGTCCCCTCCCAGCTCCTTGCCATTCGAGGTTTCACACTCTAAGGTCCCTTTCGGGTCTGACATTCTGTGAATCTATGGATGCCAACATTAAATATGGAATAATGGTACAAAGAAAGGAATTCAAAATTCATGGTGTTTCTTGTTAAGTAACTAAAAAGACAACAAGATGAATGGAAAGGCGTCTCAGGAAGACAGTATTTCCTTGAGATTCAACCAGAAAAGCCTTAAATCAAATTAAGAAAGATTCCTCTTTTGATGTTTTGTTTTTCTCACACTGGGAAAGCCAGTCCATTATGCTAAGTTTCTGAAGTTGGATCAGACAAATGGCGCTGTTTTTCAGCTTAAAAACTCCAGTAAGAATGGGTGATGTTCTTTATTATTCATTGCTTAGGGATGTTGAAACATGAGTTATCAGCTGCCCAGGGCTGGGACCACAGTGCCAAGCACAAGGTTGATCGCCCCCCTCGAACCTGGGGGGCTTTTCTGGTGGCTGCCAGAGGGGAGGGGGTTTCATCTCACCTCCCGTCCCCACCCCGGGCAGCACAAGAACAGGATTTAATGTGCTGTGCTTGCATCTTGTCCTGGACACTTTCCCAGCCCAAACGGATGCAAAAATTAAAGCATCCACCACGGCGTCTTGTAAAGAGAGGAGGGCTGAAGGGACAAGGAGGGCTGCATCCCAAAGGCAGCCCACCTCCCCTGCCCCCCACCCAACCTTCACCCACAGATACATGTCACAACTTCTGGTCACCTTGCAGGGTGGGGGAGGGGAGGAGAAGATCTTCCTCTCCCCTCCTCCCCATTAGCCATGCCACATTGCTCTCCTGGGTGAAAATATCCTCAGTTTACAGACTGGAGGAGAGGTCAAAGACCTAAAGTCAGGCCCTGGTCCCAGTGCTCTCTGGGTCCGTGACCTGTGAGCCTCTCTGAACCCTGCTCACAAACTCTGAGACAAGTGGTTTAACCTCCCTGTCGAGCCCTCATTCTGTCTAGCTTCTTATTTCATAAATGAGAGAACCGAGTCCCCAGGGGATTAAGTGACTTACCCAAGGTCACACAGGTGGAATGGCCACTCTGCTTCATTTTTCTTACATAATTCTTTGTTTTAGGAGAAGATTCTACTGGATGGGGAGAGAGGGAGTCTTTGGGAAGTGATAGCTAAGTTTTAAAAAATAATTGTCAATAATGCATTTTTTAAAATAAAGAGGAGGAGGAGAGCCTGGATAAGGGCAGGAGCTGGAAGGACCCTCAGAGGCCAACCTAATCCAACCCTCTTGTTTGACAGATGAGGAGACTGGGGGCCGGGATTCAGGAAATCCCTTCATTTTACAAATGAAAAAATTGAGGCATAAGAAAGGGAAGAGAGGTGTCCAAGGTCACACAGGTAGCAAGTGTAAGAGGTAGCATTTGCACCCAGATCCTCTAACCTGAGAACCAGATGGTTTCCATCTTCTCACACCAAGACCGGAGTGTCATCTCTACTTAAAGTGCTCTTGGAAAATGAAGGTTTGCTAACGACCATGCATTCAACATCTTCAGAGTCCTGCCTGCCTGGCTAGAGAGTTAATCTAGCAATACAGAAGCCCCCCATACTCGAGGCTTCCAACTAAGGATCCTTCCATCCTGGTCCTTTGGGTCCATCATGCCATTGGGCCAAGTGGGTTCTCCTGAGCCCCGCCCCAGCTGCCCTCATTGCAGGGGCCAGAAGACTGCCTGACACCAGCTTCCAACACTCATCTACAAATTACAGCGATGGCATAGGGATCTGAAAACAGCCTCAGATATCACAAGTCCAGACACATCGGCCTTTCTATGGGGAAACCAGACCAGCCAAAAAGATTCAGTTACCTGCTTGTTACAGATAAAACGAGCAGTCAGAATTCAAACGCGGGTGTTTCGAACTCTGCTTCTCCCTCACCCCCTTAAAAAAAAAAAAACTCAATCAAAGGAAAATTAGAGGAGCCTGACACATAGTAGGTGCTTAATAAATGTGTGCTGACTGATTGGTGCCTCCATCATCACAGAGTAGGGAGCCTGTTGGCTGACACTGAAAACACGGACATTTTACGCTCTCTTCTTAACCCTGGGCTTCGTGAGAAAAGTCCACTACGAACACAAAACACAGGGGACAGACGACAGGAAGCCAAGCAGGCAAGGAGGGAGAAGATTGGTGATGGATTACTTAAATAAGCAGGATTCGCTCAAATCTGTGAGCCAGATGACAATCACCCGAGGGTACTTAAGGAATTGGCGGGCGCCACAGCAGAGACATTAGCAATCATTTCTGAGGATTCATGGAGAGCTGCGTGAAGCCCTGACAAACGCCCTTGGAGCGCCTGCCTCTCAAACAGACGTGGCCGTCGAGGTGCGCGTGGTCCGCGGCCTGCCCGAGGAGCTCACGGCGAGTCCCCGCCCGCTCTGGGGCCGGCCCCACAGAAGCCCCGCCCACCGCTGGCCCTAGCCGGCCTGCTCAGGGCCACCACGACTCACTTCTCAAATTCGTCATCCCTCATCTTGAAGCAGTAGTTCTCCAGGACTTGCCTCAGCCCGTTGGGGTGAATCTGGCCGGAATGAGTGCAGTCAAAGAGCTTAAAGGCCTTGGTGATGCTTTTCACATTCTTGAAAATCTGGGGGTGAAACAAACGGTTTGGGAAAATTTCATAAACAAATCCAGAGACGAGATGACAAAGCCCATGCGCCCCAAATCAAGGCGGCAAAGAGCGAATGAGCCGGGTGCGGTTTATTATTATTTGTAATATGTCTCCTCCAGGCAGAAGAATGCTTTCTGCCAGAGCGTGGGGCTGCAAAGGGAGCCATCAGTGCAGAGGCAGCGCTCTGCATTTATTGAATGTTTTCGAGGCAATTTTCTCGGTAAATGGTATTGGTGAGTTGAAAAAAAAATCTCCCTTTGATGTAAAGCAATACATTTCATCCACAATTCAATCCCTTTTAGAGATACATGAAAAACCTTTGGTGCTAATTGAAACTTAAAAGTATTTCCATTTTTGTAAATAGCAATTTTTCACAGGCACGTGCACATGCTAAATAACAACAGTCCATTTGCACGTTGGGCTAAACAAGAGAATGATCGGAACCGTTCATGCTTCTGCGGCACTTTGGGGTTGACAAAGGACTTCCCACTCAGGCTTTATTTCACTCTCCCAATAGCCCTCGAGGTGCCTCACATCTCATACAGGAAGGACAACCTGGAGGGTCAACTCAGTTCTATGGGCAATGACACCCCAAGGCTCCATCAGGCCACCTTGCTCAAGTTCATGGAGCAATAGAGGGGAGGAGGCCAGAGCCCAGGTGGTGTGGCCTGACCTGCCACCATCCTTACACTCTTTCCATCAGAGGATCATAGCAACATGGATTCAGGGACCTGAGAGGTCATTAAGTCCAAATTCCCTCATTTAACAGAGGAGGAAACTGAGGCATTGCCCAAGGCTGCATACCGAATAAATGTCTGAAACAGGAACAGCTGCTGTGTATCCTCTCTGACAAGGGGTTTTAACATAGGTTGTTGAGGGCATTCATTCATTCATTCATTCCAGTGAATATTTAGGTAGCACCTGCCACATGCAATGCACTTTACTAGCTGCTGGGGGAGATGTGCACACGAATAATAATAATAATAATATAAAGAGGACACAAGGGGAATGGCAGACAGAGAACTGAAAACTCTCTAGATGGTTATAGAGCAAGTTCTTGGGGGAATGAGAGAGAGAGAGAGAGAGAGAGAGAGAGAGAGAGAGAGAGAGAGAGAGAGAGAGAGAGAGAGGAAGGGAAGGAGAGATCAAAATGGATAGAGAGAGATGAGAAATGGATAGACCAATGGATGGCAGATATACATGGGTGGAGATAGATAGGCAGGCAGATAAAAACTGGCATTTTATGAGCATTTACAGTTTATGAATCTCTTTCTATCATTATTTGAACCTCACAAACAACCCTATGAAGTAGCATATGCTCCAGGTATTAATTACCCCCCCCCCATTTTAAACACAATCCTACATTGGCTGTGTCCGAGAGATCCTACATGTGTCCCTACACACCTCTCTCTGTCGCTACCTCATCTGTGCTCTGGAATTGTGGCTGGTCATTGTGTTCATCAGAGTTCTTAAGTATTTCCTCTGTATGAATGGGATGAAACACTGCTGTACTGTAAGAAATGATGAAAGGGGCAGCTTCCAAGAAACCCAGGAAGACTTGTATGAACTGACACAGAGTAAAGTGAGCAGAACCAAGACAATTCTGATCAATGCAAGGACCAACCACGTGTTGAAGCAGGCTACCCCCCTCCTGGCAGAGGGCAGTGGACTGAGGGTGCAGAATGGGACAGACATTTTGGGACACAGTCAATGGGAGAACTCATTTTCCTTTGTCCTCAACTAACCGTATACTCAGAAGGAAGGGAACGATGTGGATTCCATAAGAGTGTTGCTTCGCCCCAATGCCAAGGAGTTGACCAAGAGGGGCTTGCTTCATTTCTTTGCCCCCAAGTCTGCTCTGTCTGTATCCCTCTCCAGGAGCAGGGGACTTGGTAGAGCATCTGCCTGAGATTGGTCTCCAAGTCTCCTAGCTTAGGGCAGCCTGACAAAGGCAGCAGCATTAGGCCTCTGGGACCCAACACCGGGCCTAGGCAAGAGAAGAGGTGGAAGAGAGGAGGAAAGAGACAGCCGAGGCCCCAGCAATCCCTGTCTACCAGCCGGGGCCTTCTAGCCACCTGCCATGTCAGAGAAGGAGAGAAAGCAAGCAGAGAAGACAAAACATGGGTGGGTGAGCAAACCAAACACCAGTGTGGCCCCTGCCCTCCAGGAGCTTCCATTCTAATGAGCAGGCTAGAAGCTGGAGGCACAAGAGAAGGTGACAAGAGCAAAGGAAAGAGCTGGACCAAGGGACCTAGAAAGAGTCAGAGCTGAGGAGAGCACAGCCCCTGAGACACCACAGGCTAACCCTCACGCCATCAGACAGAGGAATCAGTGACGGCTTCATGGCCCCGCCAGTGCCAAAATGCAAACAAGGATGTCACCAGGCAGAGAGAAGGAGGGAAGTCTGTCCTGCTCTGCAGGTCGGCCATAACAAGCGTCCTGGAGAAGAGCGCAGCCAACAGTGAGCATTTACTGTGCTCCCCAAATGTGCACGTACCGGGCCACGGTGACCCTTTTCTCACGGGTCACAAGCCCAGTAAGGGGATAAGACAACGGCACAGGTAACTATACTATGCAGAATTACAAAGAGTGTTGTAACAGTAGAAAATTACAGCACAAAATGCCCTGCGAGTTCTGAGAGAAAAAGTTGTTCCTGATAGGGGAAGAGGATAAAAGTCAGGGAAGACTTCACGGAGGAGGGGGCACCTGAGTTGGACTTTAAATGACAGGTAGGAATTTAGGAGACAGAGAGGAAAGGAGTGCATTGTAGGGACCCTGAAGAACCTAAGCAAAGATGTGGAGGTAAGAGAGTACAGTGCCTAAAAGGAACGCCAAGGGCAAAAGCAGGGGGTGGGGGAGGGTAGCTATACTGGGGGAGGCAGGGATGGGCTGTGGCTCAGAATCAATAGGACAATGAGAAAAAGCTAAGAGATAGAACAATCTCCCTTTAATTTTGCTCATGTTTTCTTCCAGAGGGCCAATGGGACAGAGGAGATAGAGAGAAGAGTTCAAGACCTCTGACACATGCTGACCGTGTGGCCCTACGTAAGTCACTTACCTTCTCAGGGTCTCAGGCAATTCTCCAAGACTAGAAGTTACAGATAAGGTGCTGACCTGCATTGATGAAGGGACTTTCCTCATCTGGGAGTTGCCTATACCAATGGCATTACTAGTCCAGTCCCTATCCTTTTCTCCATTAAAGAGAATGTTCCTTGAAATTTTAATAACAGAACAAAAAAGGCTTAATGAATTAAACCCAAAGTAAATACAGAGATAGTAAGAAAACAATTACCTACCATAGGTGAGCTCAGGCCCAGGTATACTATAACCCTGTGTCCTGAAAGAATTGCAAATGTGATAGCTGAGACACAATTCGTGACCTTTGAAAGACTAGAGAATGTGTTCTCTACATTGTAATGTGTAGGGAACATATTATTAAAGGGATGGCCCGTGGTTATCCAGAAAGAGAAACAGTAACCACTGACATCAATCTCTGCTTAAACAAAAACATAGCATGGGGGAATTCTGGGAAAATGGTGGAAGGAAAGATAACGTACAGCATAGTTCCTCACCTGCTGCCCTGCCACTACCCTCAAATATACTAAAAAAATGCCCCCACATGGAACACATGTAATATTGACATGGAGAAAAAGTAACTTAGGGGCAGCTAGGTGGTGCAGTGAATAGAGCACCAGGCCTGGACTCAGGAGGACTTGAGTCGAAATCTGACCTCAGACCAGACACTTGACACTTACAAGTTGTGTGACTCTGGGCAAGTCACTTAACCCCAATTGCCTCACCAAAACAAAAAAAGAAAAGAAAAAAGAAAAAGTAACTTAATGAGACTGCCAAAAGGAATTCTTACAGCTGAGAGAATAAAAGAGATAGAGATGGGGGGGGAGAAGGAGAGAAAGAGAGAGAGAGAGTGATGATAGATAGATAGATAGATAGATAGACAGACAGACAGATAGATAGACAGACAGACAGAGACAAAGACAGACAAATTCTCTAATGGGGAGAAAGACAACACATAAAGAGGAGCTCATGGGAGAGCAGAGGTCAGACAGGACAGTGTGATGTGGTGATGGCCAAGAAGTAAGGTAGTGTGCTGGATCTGATCGGGACAAAGTAAAGGTGACCCAACAGAGTCCAGGGTGGGTCCAGGAACAGAATCTACGGTTCGAGGGGGAGGTGATGGGAATGATCACCTTCATGCCTCTCATGCTGTCTACCTGTTGTTCACTAGAACAAACCCCCAAATCTGAAGTTTTAGAAAGAAATGTATTAGGTCATTTGGCAGAAAAATAAGTGAGCCAGAGAGGAGGTGTGGCTCCATCTCCCCAGGGTCTGACACTCCCAACATTCCACGGGGTCCCATGAAATGACAATGGAACAGCTCTGGGAACCTCCAGAATGACTCAGGACAATCCAAAGACTAAAGACCAACACTGGCACTCTCAAGGAAGGAATCAGCATGCTCACAGCTGGAGACAGTGAGCTCAAAGAGACAGAGACACTGGCCATAACAGCAGATTCAGAACCCAGGGAAAAAGGGAATCGAGTCAGAACACAAAAAGGCAGAGGCAGAAGGAAAAGGCACTGAACAAAACCAAAATAGAGATGGACAAAACAGTAAAAGGGAACTTGAACATAAGATACAAAGTCATACTCTAAGGATTATGGGACTTCCAGAAAAATAACACGAAAGAAAACTTGAAGGCCACCCTGTAAGAAACCATGCAAGAAAACTTTCCAGAAATAGCATATTTTTGAGCTAGTTAGTTGGCGTGGTAGATAGAGCACTGGACCCAGAGTCAGGAAGACCTGAATTCAAATCTGGACTCAGACATTTCCTAGCTATCTGACCTTAGACAAGTCATTTAATCTCTATCTGCCTCAGATTCCTCAACTGTAAAATGGGGATAATATTAGTGCCTACTTTCCAGGGTTGTTATGAGGATAAAATCAAACAAACC